AAAAATGCAGAAAGTGTCTTCTGAACAAAYTAGAACAAATTTTATAAATTTATCGGTTAGAAAACAACAATTGTCCATTCCATAGAAAATCGTATTCCTTTGTTCTTCACATGTTTCACAAAATTTTTTTTTTTTTAAATTAATATTTTAAATTTAAAAGGATAGTTTAGGCATAAATGTGAATTTACAAATAAAGGTATAGATGGACAAAGTCCAAAAAAAACATCCTTTATATCCAATTTTCCCTAATAACTTTATATCATCATTCAAGTTCAAACATGTATATTGAAAAGAAAAAGAGATTTATTCATAAACACAAAATTATGGAAAAGGCTTTTTAGATATTAATAGTCTCCCGGGGGCCACAATTAAAAAAAAAAAATCTGTTTCATTTTTCTCAAAACAGTTATCTCAAAATATAGAGGTTTTCACACGCAAACAAAAATAAGAAGAAGTTAGAATCCAAATACACACACATATATATCCTAAAATTGTAGAAGTAAATTTCATAGACACAATCCCAACTAATTAATCACTTTTGTTAGCAAAAAAAAAAACTAATTAATCACTAAACAGATTCTTCTTCCAACAATCGATAGCTATTTTTTTCTTACAAAAACTAGGAAGTGAGCGATCACTGATTTTTAAAATTATCAAATTAAAATAAACTAGAAAAATAGGGTTAAGTGAATGCAACATAAAACTTTGAATGGAGTAACTGAGTATACGTAGGGGCATGGCAAAGAAAAAAAAAGGTATGGGCATAGAAAAATGTGATTTTAACTCTCTTTAATTAATATCTGTACGAATGAATCCTCGCAGAGTCGTACCATTTCATTTTGGCTACTATTTATGTACGTCCTAGTTTCATCAAGATCAAAATATTTTTAAAAATTTAATGTTCTGAATTTGAAAGAGGAAAATAAATAAGTTAAATAAATTATTGGATAGAGACATGGTAACGTTTCTTGGACGCAATCATCGTAACTCGTGAATTCACACATCGTATTCATCGGTCCAATTTGGTTTATATCTAAGTTTTAAAAACCCATTTTAGCGAGGCTTTGTCTAGACATGCACTGAACATGATATGATCGGAATTTTTAATATTTATTACACGACAACTATAATGACTATGAACTGAAAATGTCGTTGAGGCAATCGAATCAGACTATGTCTTTTTCTTTTATAACCATTTATTTTTAATTTCGATAGCGAAAGTATGATTCTTCTTGTTTTTATGTATATTTGTGGGGTTGGGAAGATAAAGGATATTTCCAAATTGTAGGGTTATATTTTAAGATTCTGAAAATCTATCAAAAGAGTTATTACATAATTCAAACTCTTGTAATTGACTTTAAGAATAAGTAATCCAAACAACGGTGCAACTTTAAAAGAAGTTTGGAATATTTACATTTCAATCAATTGGAATCTTTCTTTAATTTCATTCATAAGAAATATTTACTTTCTTATGAATTAACCAAATAAGGTAAAAAAAAACATTTAAAAAGTTATATTTGCAAAAACATAAAGAATCATTTCGCTAAAGATAAACCCTATTTCTTTCCAAATTTAAAATCCTTTAACTAAAATTTCTTAAGAACTATAACAAACTAAAAAAAAAAATGGTTAAGAAGACATGTTAACATGTACACTAGCGTTCATAACCAAATCGCAAACCGGACAAGTCCGTAACAAAGCCGAACCACAAACCGTACACAAACACAAATGACGACAAGGCAAAACCAACACACTCGCTTCTCTCTCACCGCACCGCTTACAAACGCCACTAACCGCTCTAACCGCTTCACCATCATCACCGCAACTTCCGCAGCTCGATTCCGCATCGTCTTCTACAGCGTTTGAAGCGGTTGGAAACGTTTCGATTTGAGCAAGAACATGTTCAAGATTTGTCCGAAGATTATTAGCGTTTGCTTCATTCGTTTGAGCAAGATCACGCCAGATTTGATTCTCCACGTAAAGACTCTTAACACGTTCTTGTAAAACCCAATTAAGGTTTCTAATCCTCACGATTTCGTCGTCTTTCTCTTTTAACTTCTTGACTATGGCGTTTTGAACCGCAGACACTAACATACGCGTTTGCGTTCGTTGCTTAGCTTCAATCTCTATTCTAAGCTTCTCTGTTTGCTGAGCAACGAACCGGTCGATCTCTGATTGTTGCTGGTTTTGAATCTGTGATACGAATTCAGCGTTTATCAACGACGGTGATGAACCAAACGCGACTGGCCTACGTTTAACCGCAGACGCGAATTCAAAGTTTTCTCGTTGGCGTTTTGCAGACGGAGGAGGAAGAAGAACAGAGGAAGAGTTGTTGAGATTGTAAGAAGTGAGACCACTTTCTGATTTGTTGAAAGGTTCGACGGCGAAAGATTCGCCGGCGGTGAGATTAAACTCGCCGTGATTCATGTTTTGTTGAAACTTAACACAATCTCTGCAAATGAAAACGATAAAGTTGAGACCTTTATGAGAGTAACTCAAAACAGAGAGCTTTGAAATGAAGAGAAAAAAAAAAGAAACAGAGCAATTTTAGTTTTTTTGATAAAACAGAGGAATTTGTTTTTACCTGTTTTGTAACATTTGAGGAGAGAAAATGTTCATGTGTTGTGCTTCAATAGCCATTGATGCGTTTGATAAAAAAGCTCCGAGAGACTCTGAAACAAAGAGAGAAAGAGAAGGAGGAGGAGTTGTGGCGACTGGTGAAGAAATCTATGGGATTGGCTTTTATTTAAGGGAGAGAGAAAAAGTCAAAAATTACAATTTTTTTCTATAAATAAATATTTATTATTTTCATATTTAAATATTTAGTTTTATAGAAAATATCAAACAGTTATTGTAAAATATTAATTTGCATGGCTAGAAATTACCATATTTGGTTAATAAGTTTGTTAGGTTTCACTAAAATTTAATGTTAAAATTTATAGAAAATTTTGAAAAAGCTAATTTTGTGAGCATCAATAGAATATATAGATACATATATGCTGGCAAAAAGGTGTATCTATATAAGTACTGTATATGTTATCTTTCTTGAACTTGACAATATTGGGTCTGTAAAAGTAATTTTTGTAATATTTCCTTTCTTTTCTTGATGCACTCATGTATGTTTCCTTAGCAACAGCCACGCAAACGTCTGTAATTGACTAGTCAAAGTACCATACAATATCAATAATTTTTGTATTATTTCTAAAACACAAAATGAAAATAATCATAATGTATAAAGCTGCTTTTCTTATCAAATAAGTATATTAGTTCACTGTATTGTGTTTGTATAAAGAGAAATTTTAAAAAATATTATTTTTCAAGTGTTATATTACAAAAATACTATGCTTTTGAAATCTTTATAAAAATGCCATTTTTTCAAAATTATTTTTTTTTATATTATTTATGTTTTGGTTAATTATGTTCTATTAGGATTTAGTTATGAGGGTTTAGGGGTTAAAATATT